AATTTTCATTTATTAGCCCGCACAACACTAGTACCTACAGTGTTGTACCATTCTCAAAAGATTACTGATGCATTCAAAGCCAAAGACAAAAGAAACATGTTATTTTTTAGCTCCTCACAATCCAGGGTAAATTGTTATTATTATTTATTTTTAACTTTAATTGATATTTTACTTAATGAAATATTTTATTTTTTCAAGCAACATTATGTGCTTGTTTGTATCAATCCATTCATCCCTGTGATTTATTATCTTGATTCATTAAGAGATAGTGACGTTAAGAACTACAAATCTATGAGGATATTATTTAATCAGCAAGTTTTTAGTTCTATATTCTTTATATATATTTATTATAACAATTAATTTTTACTTGATATGCTTAATCATTATATAATAGGGCTATAGCACGTTATTGAGGAGGTGAAGTCTCCCTCCAAACACTGAAAGACCTGATCCTGTTGAGTTTTATTCATGGAAAAGAATAAAGGTTTATATTATTTTCTTAATAAAACAAGATGGTACATATCTAAATGATTGCTTGATTGATATTTTATGTTTGTTTTTTTGAATATGTTGTTTTGGATTGATGTAGAATTTTTAAAAAATTCTGGAACTTCCAAGTTATAGGGGAGACTCTGTCAGATTTTCGACAGCAAATACTTGTATCATATATATAACTTAATCACTAAAGTATTTTAAATTAAGTTAGAATTTATTTCTACCATATTTTGATAATAACATCTTTTATTATTTTATAGGTACCTACACAATTACAAGGGTGGGAGTGTAGATACTATGTTATGATGTTTATAAGAGAAGTAATCATACAACAAGAGTTTATCATTCCTGAAAATGTAAGTCAAAAGCTTTGAAATTAAGTTAATATAATGTTAATTACTTATATATTGCTTTCATGTCTTGTGTAGTATTTTGTTGGAGCAAGATATTCGTATTTTACTATGGAGCAAATAGAAAATTTAGTTGAAGAGTGGTCAGAATATATTATTGGCTGTTTGTGATAAGAAGTTAGATTTCAATGTTAAAAAAATAACAATAGTTTCATTTGTTAGGCTTGTTAGAAATTAAACTAGGTTAGTTAGAAAATTGAAATTGTTGTATCAGTTTCAAATTCTTTTCTTGTATATAAATTTTTATGTTGATATTATTTTTAAATTAGTTTTTGATATTATGATTTGCCATTGTTAAAGATTTGTAAAAGAAGAAATTTGAAAAATTTGATTTTTAAAAAATAAAAATAATATATGAGAACGCTCATTTGAAGAGCGCTCTTGTAAAATAACTTACGAGAGCACTCTGATTAAGAGCGATATACAGGAGTGCTCTAGAAGAGGGCTCCTAGACGGCACATACTGGAGCGCTCTTTAAAAGAGCGCTTCGATAAGGTGTCAGCATACGAAAGAGCTCTTATAAAGAGCGCTCTTGTATGGCAGCATACAAGAGTGTTCTTGTAGAGAGTACTCCCGTACATGATGCGTGCCCTTATAAACTAGAGCTCTCTTACGAGAGCGCTTTTCGAAAGCGCTCTTATATAGCATACATACAGGAGCGCTTTTCTAAAAGTGCTCCTGTATAGCGTACATACAGGAGCGCTTATTTTTAAGCGCTCCTGTACATTTCGTAGCGCTCAATATGAAAGCGCTTTGGAAGCGCTCCCTAAAGTCAAAAAAAGCGCTTTTGTAAACTTATTTTGTAGTAGTGGCCTCACGTGATTGAAGTGAGCCAGACTATATTAAGCTTTAAACCAATCCACACGTGACACCCTTACAATTCACACATGAATAAACCTATAAAAAGCATTCAATGCACTTAGCGAAGAAAGTGCTTTTTCTAGTAAACATACTTTCACAAATCATCAATAGCTATATATAATATTTATCCTAAGTGTTTCTAACATCTCTTTTAATGCCAAACTATAAATAGGACCTCATTTAAATGAATGGGTAATAATTGAACATGATTTAAGTGCCATATTATTGAAATCTTACCATCTTGCAGCCTGTGAATGAGAAACTTGCTCTCCCTTAGTTTATAGGCAAAAAAATGTATTACATATCTTCTAAGAGAGTTATTTCTGAGTGTGCATAAATTGTTCCAATCATCTCATTGAGTGAGAATTTTCTATGAAAATAACTTCTACATATTCTTAAGTGAATTAAGGATTGAGATCCCTTATCTCTAGACAAAAAAGAAATTTTTTCTATAAAGGTGTCATTTGTTTGGGAGAGATTTCCTTACTATCAAGAGAGTTTTCATGAGTGAAATATTCATAGGTGTTGTGAGTGATGTGTAGTGGATCACAAGTATTTAAAGGAAACTTGTGGTTTATACTATGATGACAAGTATCTATTAAAACTTGTGATATAATTGAAATTGACAGCAGAAGACAAACGTTGTCACCTCTTAAAAAAAATGCTAAATATTTTAAAATAGTTTCTATTGCCCCTAAGTTAACGTTCCCAGCCACCTCTTCGAACTTCCAAAGCAGCATTCTTATAACAAAGGACAAACTTTGTGATGTCTTAGTTGATATTTACAAGGGGTGGTTTGGTTGGGAGTAAGTAACGAAGGGAAATTGTACTTTTCGAAGAGTAATTCTCTCTAGATTCATTAAAAGCCTTAACTTGGGAATTGATGAAGTTAAACATCATACTTTCATCATGACTAGAGAAACAATTACTAACCAGATCCTAGGTAAATTCTACTTTCCTAGTCTTTTTTGTATATATTTAGAAATTTCTCTTTTGTAAATTTATAAAATAAAATTCACTTGAAAGATATTTTTGTAGTATTCAGCGTTAACAATGTTATATTTATTTTAAAAAAATTAAGCTATTTGAGTACTTATAAAATGAAACATGCAATCATTTATAAACTTCTTGAGAAATTAACTTCGAAAGTTAACTTTTGAGAAGTTCATCATATTGCATTGAGCCAAGCAATCTTTAAGTCAGTTTCAACTAATTCAAACAGATTAAGAAAATTACTTAAAACTATCTAATGATTGTAAAAGTATTTCATCCGCTTTCTAAAAACACAGTCGACTCTTATTACTGATTTTTTTTTTTTGAAGATCTTTTCTCACCATAATCACTCAATTATATATTTAAAAGTATTTCATCCGCTTTCTAAAAACACACTTGGTTCTTATAACATATAAAAAGGAATGGACGTAGTATAATTTTACTCCATCATCCATCGAATAGCAAGTCATATTGCATAAAAATGCGAATACATGTGTTTTGTTAGATATATTTAATTATTTACAAACTTTTATTTAAATGGTAGAATTATAATTATAATTTGAATTTAAATGAGAAAGTTTTATTAGATATCTTTATTTAGGAGAGGTCTGTCATTTACTCTTAGTATTTGACGAAAATTAACATATACTCATATTCTTTGTGCCAAAAAAAAATTACTCTTTTCGTTAAAAAGTGTAAGGCATTTTTCAAAAATTAGATGTTTAAAAATATAAGGTATTTTTAGTCTTTTGAGATGTAATTATTGCCTTTTTTTTTAAAGTGCTCCTATTGATGAATAACTTTACATTTATTATAGAGTATTTAATAAGAATAAATATGAAAAGATAAAGTTATTTAAAAGTAGGTAACTATTTTATTGAAAATGAGATTTGATTAAAAATACCTTATACCTTATATTTTTTAACGGAGGGTATAGATATTTTGATTTCTCATATAATTGAATAATAAAATATATCTCATGAACTGTCAACCCCCTTGGCTCCCTTCATCTAACTTACAAGACACTTTTGGGGGGAGATTTGGCATTCTCAAATGTAAAATACTTTGATAAAAATAGGTTTCATGAGTGATATTTTTTAGTATTACACTTCACATTATATTTTCTATCTTTTTAATGTTTTCTTATAGATGGATTAATAAATGAAAGGTGTTTTTAGATGTTTATATTTTTTTTATAAAAATAAGGATGTAAAGTTTATTTAATGAGCTTGATTAGTGTACATAATTTTATCTGTAATTGTCTTATAAATTGAAATGGTTGGAATATTAAAATGCTTAGATTCCTCCTTGCCTTCACCAATTCGAAATCTGACTCACCGCCGATAGTAAATATTTAACGTTATGTTAACCCCCCATAATATGAAAGCTAAATATAATATAATTTTCAAATAAAGGTCGTCTCAAAAATCGAGAGAGAAATCAACGTCAAATAGCCATTCTATTTTATAATATTTTAAAACATTTGTTTAACTCGTTTATCTATATCACGTCCAATATTGTTTGAACCAGTTTAAACATCGAATTGGTTTTAGAGTATTAGTTCATTAAACCGTGGTCCGTGGTTTAACCAATCGCAATTAAAATAATAAAATTTAAATATTATGTAGGAAAAATAAAAATATTTTAAACAATATCTAACCATGCATATCCTTATCAAAAAATCAATTAAAATAATAAAATTTAAAGATTATGTGTGAAATTTATATTCAATTGCACTACCATTATAATAAAATTATTTATTGTTCATTAAAAGTAACCAAAATCATCAGTGATGCCAAATTAATTGTCTAATCAAATCAATACAAGATTTTTATTATTAACTAAAATCATAAATGTATAATCAAATATATATATATTTATTTATATGTATATATATAACTATGAAGAAAAACCACCACCAGACAGATAAAAAACACAAAATAACGTAGTTTTAGGTTATTGATATTTTAAAAAAAATAGAAAAATGATTCTTGATAGTTCTGATCGGTTAATTTCCACCGATTTTACTAGGTTTCACTGGCTTTATGCACTTTTCTCCCAGTCCTACACACCCTGACCGGACCATTCCATAAGCCAGTTTCGATCGGTCCGATCTTATTCTGACATCGCTGGTGTTGTCATTCTTCTTAAACCGATTAATTCGTTCCTCCTCCTATAAATAGAAATCGACATCCACCATCTCAAAAACCTGTAAATATACTATAACTCACTTGCTAGCTATTCAAGTCTCTGAATCCACCAAACTACCAATCTTCCATGGAGAAAGGAGATCCTTGCGTCGTTATGGTTCCATGTCCGGGCTTCAGCCATCTCATTCCACTCATTGAGCTAGCGAAACGACTCGTCGTTCACCACCCTGACTTCCATGTCACTTTCCTCATCCCAACATTTGGTGCGCCGCCCTCGTCAACCACACTATCCATCCTCCAATCTCTTCCAGCAAACATAGAATTCACAGTTCTTCCACAAGTCAACCAAAACGACATGCCTCCCAATGCCTTTCATCCAGTAACACACATGAATCTCACTGTGACATACTCTCTTCCTTCACTTCATCAGGCCTTGATCTCACTGAATTCTCGAACTCACCTTGTTGCTATGATTGCTGATGTGTTCTCAGTGGACGCATTAGAAGTTGCAAAGCAATTTAACCTCAAGACATACGCTTATTGTGCTTCATCAGGTGCTTCGCTGAGCTTTCACCTCAATTTTCTCGAACTGGACAAGGATCTTGAAATCGCTTCTACTGAGTTTCCAGAGCTACAACGACCCGTGAAACTTCCAGGTTCCAAGCTATCTTTGTATTTGTTTCTTTTCTTTTTAATATTTTGATCTCTTGTGTATTTTTTGTTATGTTAACACATTTAATTGGTCAAGTTAAAAATGGATATTACTCCTGATACTTTTTGTAGGTTGTGTAGCTCTTCAAGGCAAGGATCTCATGGACTCGGTTCAAGAAAGAGCAAGTGAATCCTACAAAACAATTCTTCATATCAGTAAAGGATTGGATTTGGCGGATGGTATCATACTCAATAGCTACATCGATTTGGAAAGGAAGGTGATAACAACATTACAAGAAAGTAATCATAAATACCCCCCAATTTATCCATTGGGACCCATTTTACAAAGTGAATCGGCTAGCTTGAACGAGTCAGATTCACTGTGTTTAAAATGGTTAGACAATCAACCACCAAACTCTGTTCTATATGTTTCTTTTGGGAGTGGTGGAACACTGTCACAAGAACAGCTTAATGAGCTAGCCTTAGGGTTAGAGATGAGTGGCCACAAGTTCTTGTGGGCCACGAGGGCTCCAAATAGGGTTGCTAGTTCGGCTTATTTGTGCGCACAAAAGGAGGACCCACTGGATTACTTGCCAAAAGGATTCCATGAGAGGACCAAAGATCGTGGTCTTGTGGTCCCATCTTGGGCCCCACAAATTGAAGTCCTGAGGCACAAGTCCACTGGTGGGTTCTTGACACACTCTGGTTGGAACTCCACACTAGAAGGTGTGTTCTATGGAAAGCCAATGATTGTGTGGCCACTGTTTGCAGAGCAAAGAATGAACGCAGTGATTCTAACTGAAGAATTGAAGATTGCCGTAAGGCCAAAAGAGAATGAAAATAATAATGGGATTGTGGAAAAGGAGGAAGTTTCTAGAATTGTAAAGAGTGTCTTGGAAGGTGACGAAGGCAAGGAGATTAATAAAAGAATTCAAGTGTTTAAGAATGATGCTGTTAAAGCACTTGGAAAAGATGGTTCCTTTACAAGGGCACTCACTAGTTTAGCACTTCAATGGAAAAATTTGAGTGGCAAATAGAAAGATGCGAACCCTTCAGTATATTTTATAGTTAATTTCTCATAGTGGTGTGCCTTTTAATTTATCTTTAACAATAAATTTCTTTTTTAAGTCTCACGCTGTATTTTTATCATAGGATGTCTAATTTTGGTCAAAATTGAATGGATATATTCCAGATTCCTTCCCTGTTCCAACTGTGATGTATAATTCATTTAGAACAAAAAGTTCTAATTATTTTATAGCTGTGTTCAAATTTCAAGACTTGTCTGTTTTTCAACAAAATATTCGTTTCATTTTTTTTCTTTAATTTACACTATATCATTATTAATTAATTTCTTGATGTGAAATAATTTGGAAGAAAAATCTATGCCATTATCTAGTTTATGAAAAGAGCTTTCCATAGATGTGTAGATCATCTCAATTGAATATCAAACAAAGATATAAGGCACGTCGGATGTTGCCCCTAAATATTATCAAATGATAGCAAGTTTATGTTTGATATTGTGCAACACGCCGCGGCATATGTCATAAAAAAGGAACAGCTATAGTGCATGTACACATGCCATGGCTCGTTCCCTTGCTTTTCACTCCTTGATTTTTTTCTAACTAGTTTTGAGTCCTTTGACTCCTAAAAAAGTATCTCATGCTTTTGTAATGATATCTTACTCTAATTTGATGCTTATTAAATGATATTTAAGTATTTTCTAAATATAAAAAATTGAGATCCTATTTTTGAAAATATTTGCAAAACATGGTGATCTAACTGGATTAGTCTTAGGATTGCCATGATTAATGGTTTATAAGTAAGGGCGACCTTACAAAAATAACTAAAATTAAAGTTCTAGCAACCACAACATTTAAGGCAACTAAGATGGCTAATCTCTTCTTAAATTCATAAAGCATGCAATTACCCAATTAAATACACTTAATATTAGTTTGTTAATCTAGAGTACTATTAATAAGAATAATTATCTTTCAATTAATTACTCCTTCTCTTGAATTAAGAAATGTTATTCCAACACAATTACTCAACAAGCACAAAAACAAAAATTCACTCTAAAATAATTATATAGGATCAATAGGTAAATTCTTATACTATCGGCAAATTAGAATAAATTCTAATCTCACATTACTCAATTAATCGTTCAATTTAGATTCCTTTCCTCCAAGTTAGAACCTAAAACCTCAAATTCATACTTAACAATGGCCAATGTAATAACCCAAATATTTTGATAAAAATAAACTTTATGGTTAGCTATTTTGAATGTATTTTTATTAATTTTTGAGTAAGTTTAATAAAAGGGATTGGTGGTCTAGTGGAGTATGTGCCAACTATATAACTATTAGGTCCCAAGTTCAAACCGTCTTAGTGCAAAAAAGGGATTTTTATTTTGCTATTAGTTTTACAAAAACTACCATTTTACCCTTGGGGTCTTAAAGAAAAAAGAGAATCAGAGCTAAAGATTGGGAGGCATCCTATTCTCCATTTTCCCTTCGATTCCACTTGGATATTGAGAGTGAAAGAAAGCCTTAGATTATAACCTTCTACTTCTTCTCTGATCTTCCTTTTTCTTCCTCTATCCAGCAACTGTGACAATGCTAAGGCTTTCTTCTTTCTCCTCTGTCCAAGTAGCTGCAAGGGTGTGACAAAAATCTCCTCCTCCCCTACAATGCATCACCTTCATTCATTTCTGTACGGGTAGCATTGAACAACCACAACTCCTTCCTTTTGTTCTTCACTTCACAACCATCTTTTCTCCTACTTGCAATGTTAGTCTAGTTTTAAAGGACCTTCAAATTGCTCCTTTAGTTTATCGTGCTTGGGTTGAGATAAGGAACTTATAGAACCTTCTTCTTGTTATTTTTGTGCGTGTGTGTTTTAGTGGTTGAAGTTGTAAAATTTGTCCCTCTTTACTGGATTTGTGCATATGGGTGAGAATTGATTATTGTGAAATTGATCCTTCCTCTCTATTTCAATGTGCTGTGTGAATGTGCAGGTGGTTTAAATCTAAGCAAGCTGGATTAATTCAAATATTGACATTGTAGAATTGTTTGGAAAAATTGTTGGGATGAGATTTGAAGAGAAGAGCTTAGTATTAAGATTTGAAGATTCAGGCCTATGAGGTGTTTGATAAAATACTTGTTAGAAGAGTTTTTCTTGATTATACATTTTCTAAAATTCTATTGATTATGATGAGAAGCATGGCTAATTCAAGATGCTATTTAGCAAAGTTTAATTTGTGAATTGCAAAGAAATTTTATTATGAGCTAATGTATGATAAGTTGAATTTTGGAAATAGCAAGGTTGAAGTATAATTTATAAATATGGTTCTATTTTATGACTTTATTATGGAGTGTAATTAAGTTGTTGGATAAAGTGGGTAATAGAAGTATTTTTTGATTAATAGAGCAACTAAGTTACATGTGCATGCTTGTATTTACACTTTGATTAAAACTTAGATACATGTGATTGAGAAGAGTTGGGAAGACATGTATAATATAAACAAAGCCTTGAATAGAAGTGTGAGAGAGAGAGAGAGAGAGAGAGAGAGAGAGAGAGTGTGTGTGTGTGTGTGTTTTGTAAGGATTGACGAATCTAAGTTGCAAATTGGATTAACTTGAGAAGTTAGTTGATTATGGTGTTGTTAATATTAGAAGGGAGTTTATTAAATCGGGTAAAGGGCGCTAAATTTTCTTATTATTGAATAGGGTTTTTCAGGAAAGATTTAATTGAAATTTTAAGGAATGAATTTTGGTACTTGGATGTACTAATGATAAGTAGATAGTGTCACAATTAATTTATAAGCTAATTCTATTTTAATATTGTTAGAGTATTTTCACATGTGCATTAACATAACTTCAATTCCTAATACTAACTATTTTAAAAGAAATTACTTTCATTTTTACAAGAAAGATAGAGTTGTTTTATTATTGAATATCTTTAATTATTTAACATACGATAATGTTTTTGATATAGGGTTATTATTGTTCGTGTATGAGAGAACATAAATAATATTATTTTACAATGATTGTGATGTGAAGAGATAAAATGTTGATTCATAAACCTATGCATACTTGATTTAAATTTTGGGATTGAATCAAAATGTTAGTTGCTAATGGTGGTTTCATTAGCCTTTGGCACGCTATGATTAAATTCTAACTAGTTTGGTATTCGTGAGTATCGTGCTCATGTTTGCTATTTGTGAATTTAGTACTCATGCTTGCTATTCATGACTTAAGTACTCATGCTTGTTATTCGTAGGCTATGCTTGTAATTGTTTCGTGGCTTCTAACTATGTTCAATTATTTCATTCTTTAAGCCATGCTTGTGGGTGACTTACTCTCATGGATTATGTATTCAGGTTTGTTAATCATTTTAATTTAGTCTTGCTAAAAATTAAATTTTGAAACTTACTATTTATTCAAGATTATTGGTATTTGTTAAATGAGTCATGTTGCTTGATTGTTTGAATACATACATACATACATACATACATACATACATACATACATACATACATATATATATATATTGCAGACTGAAGTGAAATTTGAATGCTATGTCATTATTATTTGAATCTATACACAGATGATTTATATAATTTTTGTGTAGAAATATGTGGCCTTTGAGGTACAACTAATTTGTTTTCAAATGGATATTTCCATTGAATTCTTGATTATGTCATTATTATTATATATATACCCTTTAATGTTGGGATATTCATTGAAAAAATATTTTGATTTTAGATTCATTAGCTGACACTGAACATCTTGCTGACCACTGAGGGATTTATTGCTAAGTAGGTGGAGATTTGTTTCAAAAATGTCTCCTTTTTTATGTAATTATGAAATTTATCAATTTTGTTTTGAAAATATGATTAGATGCTCCATATAGGCTATAATTAGGAGTCCTTATTTTGTTATATACTCTGTCTGCTAGCTGGATGGAGCTAAGTTCTTGATTTTTGTGATATTCTATTTGAAAAATTGTGTTGTAGAACTTTTGAGAGGTCCTATTTAAAAGGAAGGTTTTACTAAAATTTCTACAAAATATTAAAAATCTCGTTAGAATATAAATATCATCCCGATGCAAATATAACTATGTTTTAGAAATGGAACAATTTGCATGTTTTTTGGGCTAAGTCTATTAAACTTGGTTTTCTAGTGGCTTGCTATGCCTTTCGACTTCTTTCCTTAACAAAAAAGGAAAAAAATTGTAATAATTTTCTTGATTTAAGGCTTAAGGAACATATATTATGGTTCACATACCATGTCAGTCACCTTTTTACTTTTAGGGTGTGACAACAAAGCATTAAATAGACAAGCAAATACTAGATTAAGTAAACAAAACTAATATTAATCTCAAATAAATAGTTCAAACATGTTCTAATCCAAGAATTAGATCATAGCTACCCTAGATTAATAGAAAATTAACCACATATGACTCTAATTATAGAAAATCTCAACAATAGACACATCAAAATAAAGAGAAGCAAGAGAACAAATACTTAATCAGAGAAATCTTGCGGTAAACTCTTGATTTTTCATTAAACCCAAGCTTTTGCAAACCTCTTTTAGCTCTTTTCCTTTACCTTGACGTGCTTTAGCTGCTTGAGGTTCAGAACTATAAAAAATGATGCTTAAAAACCCTTAAAATTGGTTGAAGATCAAAGCTAGCATTTTACTAAAATTCATGCTTTGTTGTAGCTAAATACTTTTTTATTGCAATGAACATGACCTGTGTAGAATTTTTTTTTTAGATTTTCCTTCTTGGACTTCAGCTTCCACCTTAGGCTATTTTTGAAATAAAAGACACATGAATTAGTGTAGAAAATTGGCCCAATACCTCTCTATATTAAACATTACCTACTTATCACCAAATTTCCTTAATCTCTTATAAATGTACACCCAATTAGTCAATAAAAACACCTAGGTGACCCCTTTTTTAATAAAATTGCAAGTGAAAATTAAGAAAATATTAGGAGTCATCACAAACCCTTTGTTTTTGCAATAATAAGGAAAGAAGCCAGTGAGCTTCAACAAACTCATCATCATGTTCCTCTCACCTCTTTCTTTCCTTCATCCTGTTGCAGTTCTCCTCCTCAAGGTTCTTTTAATTTTCTTCCATCATTAACTCGTATTCCTCATCCTCTTGCTAGTACTATCAAAGAGACCCTAAAACCAAATCCTTTCTCTCTATCCGATCAACCATCACTATCATCCAAGAATATACATTTATACTTTATTCAAGAACTCTGA